CTTTACCCACTTTAAGGCTTTACCTACTTCATTTGGTATCCTTTTCTAGCCCACCCCTTGGGCACATTCAGTTATGACATCCATTATTCCATTATGGGCAGGTATATTTGTATTCTGAAGGCAACCTTTAGAAAATTAAAATTTATTTACCAAACTGGCTGGTCAGAAATCATCCAACGGAAATAATGTATTTAATGGATCTTGCATCTCTGAATAAACATTTAGCTGCCCATTGTTGTGTAACATTTAGTATGTTAAATTAGTACGATGGAGATTTTCTTAGTCAGCATAATTAACACTAGTTTCTGTGTAATAAATAATTCCAAATCTCAGTGGCCTAATACAATAAATATTTATTCGTTGTTCACAAAGAGTTCAGTGTGGTCAGCTGGGGGTTTCTGCTCTGTGCAGTCTTTCAGAACCTAGTATTGCCCTAGATGTTGACATCAGTCTCACTGAGGGGAGACAAAAGAGAGCACAGAGGATTGTGGGCTATGGACTAGGCCTAGGAGTATCAGATAGCCTTTTCCCCAACTCATTGGTCAGAACTCAAGCCAAGTGGCCCCCCTCTAATGGCAGGAGAAGATGAGAAATGTAATTTAACTTAGTACCTAGGAGGAAAAAAAAATGAGCTTGGAAAACACATGGTCAGTCTGCTACAATTCGCTCTCTGGCCAATGAATTTCCCTTTTACTCTTCCTCCCATATATAGAGTAGATCCCTCTCCACCCTACCCCTGAGAATGTTATCCAAAGTCACTGAATCCAGCTAAAAGCCCTGGGAGATGCTCACGCATCTCCATCTGGTACACATGTGGTTCTTTTTGGTTGTGTAAAAGCTAAAAAAAAAAAAAAAAAAAAAAAAAGAGAGAGAGCTATCTGTCCTCTCTCTTTTCTCATTCCCAAATATACAGTAGCAAGCAGAGACAAATAACCTCAGTGTCCTATTTGGAAAGGGAAGAAATGAAAGACATAAAGTCAACACTGGTCCAAAGCTATAGAGCAGGCATTCCTTTCTCTGACCAGGAACTGTTCTGAAATGTCTTTGATTGTACTCTGTTTCTATGATAGGAAAATTATTTCATCCATACTAGATGTTTGCCCTGCCATACAGATGGGGCCTTCAAATAAAATTTGTCTCTGCCAATATTTTTATTTTGGGAAAGGTCACTTTTTTTAAAACATTTTTTTGAAATGCTTGTTTATTTTTGAGAGAGACAGAGCATGAACAGGGTGGGGCAGAGAGAGAGGGAGACACAAAATCTGAAGCAGGCTCCAGGCTCTGAGATGTCAGCATGGAGCCCGACCTGGGGCGTGAACTCACGAACCAGGAGATCATGATCAGAGCTAAAGTCGAATGCTTAAGCAACTGAGCCACCCAGGCGCCCTCCCCCCTTTTATAAGGTTACCATTTGAGCCATTTTATTTTAAATTGTTTTTTTTAACGTCTATTCATTTTTGAGAGGGAGAGAGACACATGGCGAAGGAGGGGAAGAGAGAGAGACACACACAGAATCTGAAGCAGGCTCCAGGCTCTGAGCTGTCAGCATACAGCCCGATGCAGGACTCGAACCCACGAACCCACGAACCCACGAACCCACGATCTGAGCCGAAGTCGGATGCTTAACCAACTGGGCCACCCAGGCGCCCAGGGAAGATTTTTCTACATAGTTAAAAGAGGGGCAAAAGTTTCTCTTGAATGGTGCCTGCGTGGCTCAGTCAGTTAAGCATCTGTTGATTTTGGCTCAGGTCATGATCTCATGGTTAGTGAGTTTGGGCCCTGTGTCAGGGTCTGTGCTGACCCTGGAGCCTGCTTGGAATTGGAGCCTGCTTGGAATTCTCTCTCTCCCCCTCTCTCTCTGCCCCTCGCCTGCTTGTGCACCTGTGCTCTCTCTCTCTCTCTCTCTCTCTCAAAATAAATTAATTAATTAAAAAAAAAGTTTCTCTTGAGCCCACAAGGTCTTAATTACCTTCAGCTCAAAACAGTCCACATGCTAAAGTGGCACATTTTGGGGAAGACTTGTCCTGAACCACTTCATTACAATAACAATTATAACAATAACTAAAATTCACTGAGCATTTATCATGTGCCAGACACTATGCAAAGTGCTTTATATTTATTATATTCATTATAAAAACTCTATATGATAGACTCCATAATTTCTACTTTACCAATAAGGGAATTAATGATCAGAGAAGTTAATTTGCTTAGAGTCACATAGCTAATACCCAGTGGAGCTAATATTTGAGTTTAGGTCTGTCTGAATGCAAAACTCCTGCTCCTGGTCAGTAGATTATACACTCAGATTGCAAGATGTTTCTCACCTACTTCTGGGGAGTCTTTCCAAATTTAATTCTAAAGCTGAAATCTTGGGGTGCCTGTGGCTCAATTGGTTAAGGGTACAACTTCTGTTCAGGCCACGATCTCACAGTTTGAGAGCTTGAGCCCCATGTCAGGCTCTGTAATGACAGTGTGGAGCCTGCTTTGGATTCTTGGCCCCTCTCCCACCGTCAAAAATAAATAAATAAACATTAAAAAGTAAAGTTGGAATTTTGACCTCACTATTTGGCCAATACCACACTGATAATTTCTGTAGGTAAGAATCACCAATGGGTGGTAAAATTGGTGGGACAAAGTTTGATAAGAAACAGGATATAAGTATATTTTTAAAGTATCTCAACACAAGATATTTATTAATTATAAAGAGAGTAAGAGTAACTTTACAGTGGAGAAACAAGGCACAGAGCACCTAAATCGCATAATTAAAGTTAACACATTAACATCATGCGACTCCTGAAATGATGCACCGAGAAGGGCACAGCATCACTTCTGTGGTATTCTTGCCAAGAATGTACAACCTGAATTTTGAATCATTAGGAAGGACATCAGGTAAACCCAAATTGAAGCACATTCTACAAAATAACTGCCAGTACTCTCCAAAAGTGTCAATGTAATAAAAGACAAACACTGAGGAACTACCTTAGGTTGAAGGAGACTGAGAAAATATGAGAACTAAATGCAATGTGTGATTCTGGATTGGATCCAGGACCATAAAAAACCATTAGTGTGACAATTAGTAAAATCTGAATAAGCTCTGTATATTAGTGGTATGATATCAAAGTTAATTTCCTGATTTTCATAATCGTACTCTCTTTATATAAGTTGTGAAGTTGGGTGAAGGATATATGAGGACTGATTTTTATTTTTGGTGATGTGTTGTTGGTTGGGTTTGTTTTTTGGGGGGGCACCTTTTTTGTGAGTCTGAAATTATTTTAAAATACAAAGTTAAAAGAAAAGTCTTATCTCCCCACTTTACTTGTTAAAAGTTGTTTACCTATCAAAATCATGTCTGAGCTGAAAGTGAATGGATTATAAGTACGTCTCCACCAGCTTTCTCGTCTGTTCCGCATTCTGTGTTCTGTCTCTAATAGGCTGTCACGTTCCTTTGTCCAGATGGTGTCATGCTCAATGGTGCCAGATCTAAGAGAGAGCTATTTACACCCTAGATAGCATACATTTGTATATTCATTATGACAATTTTCTGGCAAATGAAAGAAAAATGTTTTGTGCTAACAAAATCAACGTATTACGACAGTTTACCGTTATATGGAAGTAAAGTGTCTTGGGAAGGGCATTTTCCCCCCTAATTCGCATAAAAGAACATTATAAGCCAGTGGTAGCCCTGCAGGCACTCCATTCCTTCCAAAGCTACCACCAAGGGTACAACCTCTCTTCCTCTACATTAGCTCTCATCACAGGCTATCTCCTGGCAGGAGGGATAACCCTTTTCCTCATCCAACCCTCAGCAACAGAATGGAAACCTTCGGTCAGATTTTGAAATGTCCTGAGGCATGATGTCCCCAGGTTGGCTGTGGGACCAGCCAATATGTAAAGAGGAATTGCAACAGGAGCAATTGTTAGACCTCAGAGTTGTGAGATGGATAGGTGATTCTCAAAGTTTTCCCCAAGGGTTGGTGAACAGCAGGGAGAGTTGTATCAGGTAGGATGCTATGGGCTGCCAGTTACAGAAAAATCGAGTTCAAACTAGCTTAAACAATGATGTTTATTAATAGGCAAATCCAGAGTTCAGAAGGGTTCCAGGCCCAATGCCATGAGGGCTCCAATCCATTTATTTGGTATTCTCTTGATTTAGTCTTTCTTTGTGCAACAATTTTGTCTCCAGACTAGGACTCTCATGGCTAATAAGTGACTTACAGGAAACAATGACCTACATTACTTTGTTCATATTCCACAGGAGAAAAAGAAAACCTTTCACCCAGTTGTCCTACAGAAACCTTTCCCTTCAATCTGATGCAACTTAGGTCACCTGCTCACTCCTCTAGCAACAACACTCCTCAAGGGAAAACTGTACTGTGTATGACTGAAGTCTGAGTTCCTAAACTATTCAATGGCAAGGTAGTGGGATTACCAAGAGTGGTTTAGAGTGAGATACACTTCCAAAGCTGAGGATAAGGTCAAATTCTGTTGAATCTTCTGATGGAAGAGTAAACACCTGACCAAAACCAGGGCTTTGTCAGGAAAAGAAATGGTGACAATGGAAGCTGGGAAGTGAATTCCTGCCCATTGTGAATCTCGGGTGTTGGTCTAACATGACCCTCCACAAACAGGATGCTTTCTTGCCATTTCTACTTGTTTTTTTTTAATGTTTAGATGTTTATTTATTTTTGAGAGACAGAGAAAGATAGAGCAAAGGGGGGGGAGGGGCAGAGAGAGAGGGAGACACAGAATCTGAAGCAGGCTCTAGGCTCTGAGCTGTCAGCACAGGGCCCCATTCGGGGGCTTGAACCCACCAGCCGTGAGATCACGACCTGAGCCCAAGTCGGAAGCTTAGCCGACTGAGCCACCCAGGCTCCCCGCCATTTCTTCTTTTTTAAAATATGAGTTCTACCATTGTGGAAAATAGTATGGAGGTTTTTCAAAAAGTTAAAAATAGAATCATCAGATGATCCCACAATCCCACTGCTGGGTATATATCCAAAGGAACTGAAAGTAGGATCTCAAAGAGATATTGGCATACCTGTGTTCTGAGCAGCACTATTCACATTAACCAAGAGGTAGAAGTAACCCAAATGTCCACCAATAGATGAGTGAATAAAAAAAATTGTGTGTGTGTGTGTATATAGTGTGTGTGTATATATATATGTACACATATGTATATTATATACATATATATGAATATTACTCAGCCTTAAAAAGGAAGGAGAACCCATTACAAGCTGTAACATGGATGGACCTTAAGAACATTATGCTAAATGAAATAAACCGGTCACAAAAAGACAAACATCGTAGAATTCTATTTATATGAGGTATCTAAATAGTCAAATTTATAGGAAAACAAAGTAGAATGGTGGTTACCAGGGGGTGGGACAGGGGGAAGGAAGCGTTGCTCAATGGGTATAAAGTTTCAGGTTTGTAAGATAAAACTGTTCTGGAGATTTGTTTCATAACAACGCAAATATACTTACCACTACTGAACTGTATGCTTAAAAAGAGTTGAGATGGCAAATTTTATGTCACGCACTTTTTCCATCACAATACAATCTTTAATTTTGGAAAAAAGCAGGTTATAGTAGCTCCTCAAAAAAATCCATTTTTAAACATAAAATATGTTTCCAATAAAGAAAGAAAAGATAAAAAAGGAATAAAACTCATTTCAAATATTGCAAAGAAAAAGAAAAAGAAGGAAAATAATGCCAACATGCTCAGTGATAAAGGACTGTTTTCTTTTTGTATTATACAAAATACAAGCACATGATACGCATACTTAAAATGGAGTGTGGAAGCAGATACATGTCCTAGAAATTCTTCGCTAAAAGCAAAGCAAGGTTTGCTTACATATTCTTATATATTCTTATATATTCATACAGACACTGCCTTTTTTTTTTTTTTTTTCAACATTTATTTATTTTTCGGACAGAGAGAGACAGAGCATGAACGGGGGAGGGGCAGAGAGAGGGAGACACAGAATCGGAAACAGGCTCCAGGCTCTGAGCCATCAGCCCAGAGCCCGACGCGGGGCTCGAACTCACGGACCGTGAGATCGTGACCTGGTTGAAGTCGGACGCTCAACCGACTGCGCCACCCAGGCGCCCCGCCTTTTTTTTTTTTTGAGAGAGAGCACTAGTGGGGGAGGGGCAGAGAGAGACAGGGAGGGAGAGAATCTCAAGCAGACTCTATGTGCAGCTCAGAGCCAACATGGGGCTTGATCTCACAACCGTGAGATCATGAGCTGAGTCGAAATCAAGAGTCAGATGCTTAACTAACTGAGCCACCCAGGCACCCCAAGACACTGTTTTCTTATGTCTACATCTGGAAGATGTAAACTTAAGTACCACAAAAGACCACCACAAGTGCTACCAATGCGGGTTGCATCTACAATTCATAAAAATGTCAACGAAATCATTTTCTCTTGAACTACATTTCATTTTTGAAATCCTTTTCCTGTTTTATCTTAAAAATTCATATGTATTTCTGGTTCTACTTCCTATGTCTGGGCTGGGTTTATTTTAGAGTGAATCTTCTCTTTCAATTTTGTGGAAAATTCCTATAAGAAGATATTTATCTTATGACATCCTCAAACCCCTGGCACTTAGCCACATATGCCACTGTTTCAGTTTGAGGCAAGATATGGAATCTAGACGAATGGATTTTCTGGAAGATAGTCTCTCTAGGGAACTAATTAAGTGACTTTTTAAAAAATTAATTAATTTTTAAAATGTTTTTATTTCTTTTTGAGAGAGCCCATGTGAGCGGGGTAGGGGCAAGGAGAAGGGGGAGGTGCACAGAATCCCAACCGGGCTTTGTGCTGATAGCAGAGAGCCTGATGAAGGGCTTGAACTCACAAACCAGGAGATCATGACCTGGGCCGAAGTTGGACACTCAACCGATTGAGCCACACAGTTACCTCTGAATTTCTACTTTTTTTAAATAGGGAAATGCTTATTTTATAACAATAAGCAAAAAAGAAAAAAGAGAATTCAATAGTTGACCATTACTACAAAAGAAATGGGCAACGGTAATGATGGTGGAAATGTGAAACACAGGTATACAATATCCCAAAAGAAAGAGATGAAAATATGAACAGTGGTATTCTTTGGGTGGTATATCTGCAGGAGGGTTTTTCTTTGTACTTTCAATTTTCTTGATTTTTTTTCCCACCATTTATGTGATATGTTTAAAATGTTTCGTAAGGGAAAGTGAACTGGGGTAAACACAAAGATTGTGGGTCCCAGGGTCTCCCTTAATGTAAACCTGAACATTACAACCCCTATTTTGGCTGTTCAGAGGACTCACTCCACCTCCCCCGTTCCTGCTTTTTTATTTTGAGTGTGTTTTTGACAGTCGAGGTCAGTATAAAAATACTACTGCACACAGAAAAATAAAGACCCAAAATTAAGTGGCTGTGTTCTCAGTGACTTAACTCCTTAGCCTTTAGAAAACTGATTTGAGTAATAACAAAAGTTGCAAGTAAATTAATTAATTTATTAGTATTACTTAAAAAATTTTTTAATGTTTATTATTAAGAGAGAGAGTGCAAGCAGGGGAGAGGTAGAGAGGGAGGGAGACAGAGAATCCGCACGGTCGGCACAAAGCCTGACATGGGGCTCGAACCCACAAGTGGTGAGATCACGACCTGAGCCAAAGTCAGATGCTCAACTGACTGTGCCAACCGGGCGCCCCGCAAGTAAATTAATTTAGAACAAAATAAAATTCTTGGTTGGGACAGGATTAAAACAAGTGTTGCATCTAGAAATATGAAATTATTGTTCAAAGGAATATAATTCAAAAATCCCCTGAAAGCACATCCATGTGTAAAAAGTCATTTTGTTTTACTTCTCCCTTACATAATGTATGTATTACAAATTCGAGAAGGTGCTTGGGTTTGTTCCATTTAAATGCTCTTTGACAGTGTTGTCACTGTGTTTCTGGCAAGCACCGCTTTACATAAGCATAAACCATATGGAAATGCCGAGATTAGAATAACTTGGATTCTATCCTTGGGACACGCTGTGTTTATCAGTATAACATGACGGATCGTCCCTCTGTGGGTGAGAGAGGTCCGGGTTTGGACTGCAAGCTCATCTCTGTGAAGACTCAAGTCCCAGGATCTCATCCACTGGTGATCTCCATCAGAGAAGCCAGGGGGCCACTCTCATTTGGGATCTGCAGCTGCTGCTCTCTCCTGCCCAGGGGCACCTGCCCCGCAGCAACTGGGGCGCCCAGGGGTTCTCTTCAGGTGGTCTGCATAACTGCAAGAATGCTGTGGATCCTAGCTCTGCCTCTTACTACTGTGGGCTTTGGATCATTCAGTGACCTCGTTTTTGTGGCAGGAAAATTTACTGAGAATCAATTTCTCATATTCTCCATATCCTCACCACTCCCTTGCCAAGAAGGGTCTTGGTATTTTCTTGCCTCAGAGTTTTTTTGCACAAGGAAGGCATCCATTTCCAGGGAGCAGCTTTTATTTTAGAAAAGTTTAAACTCTGCTAGATTCTGCTAGGTGTCCCTAGGAGGAGAGGAGAAAGGGGGACTCTTTGAGGGTAACAGGAAGGAAGAGACAAACACCTCCCTGTCACTAAAAAAAAGGGATGCTCAGGGAGGCAGCCAGTGCTCAGAGAGGATGGCTGTGCGGCTGGAGATTCTGAACCCTAGGGACTGGGACTCCAACCTCTCAAAGATCTTTGACATCCTACATCGCACAGAGCTGCGGTGTGTCCCAATCCAGCGGAAATTTTTCTGGTACAGAAAGTAGGCATCTAGCAGATAGATTCTTGTGCAAATTGCAGAGGGATGACAGGACAGGCCTTCTCCATGCTTCAGCACGCTGGGCAAGATCCAGAATCTTGCGAGGAAAGCCCCCTGAATGGTTTGGATGTCATTTCCTACCATTGTAGTGGAATCATGCTAGTTTTAATTAAATTAAAAAAATAAAATAAATGGGTATTTCTTACACATTTGGTATTGTGCATATTCCTGTTATATGTGTCTGAGCCTCTATTTCTTCATCATGTCCTGGAGATCAAAACACTTGTCTCACAGGTTGAGGGGATTAAGCGAGGTTAACAGGTGACGCCCAGAGAATGCTTAAGTGTATTTATTAGGTCCTCAGTTGCCTGATTCTCTGAAATATATCTATATATTTTTACTTGTTTCCAAGATGAGATTGCTTGTACAAATGGCAGAAGTTGGTACCAGAACTTATGGAAGGCCTTGGGCTAGGGAAGGTCAAGAGGCAATGTTTTTAATAGTTACGATAGCTACCATTTACTAAGAACCTATTATGGGTCAGACACTCCTGGACTATAAATCATGTCAGTGGTTTTTAAATTGTTCTGCGGAGTTGTGAGATTCGGTGGAGGGGGTCAGGAGCTGCAGTGGAGAGCAAAAGGGAGACCAATAAGTTCATATTCAGGGTCACCTTCTCTTCCTCAACTACATCAGTTTTGCTTTTACCTGTTTAATATATTGATCCTCTAGATATGATTTTGTTTGAAATGTAGTATGTCTGTTAAACACATTTGAAAACTACAATGGGGTTGGATCCAAATGGTGGTAAAAACAAACACATGTTCATCTAGACTTCCTCTCCGGGCTTAACCCTAAAACGAATCTAAAGTGCATGTATAAATATATATACAGATATTTGAAGATCATGCTGACTTACAAGATGACTTAATTACTCTCAATGGACTAAAAATTCTGCAGGAACTGGTGAAAGACAGAAAGTAGAACTGGGATGACATGGAGGGAGGGAACCATTGTCCAGTATTAGTGAAGACGGCACCTGTAAACTGTGAGAGAGGCTTCAGCTTGGGGAAAGTGGATATGGGGAACAGGAGGCAGTCCCCATCCAACATTTAGTATGATTTGGGTTAACATTACGGAAGTAGGTACAGTCAGGTTCCTTCTTCCAGCTGTGCTATGCAGCAAATAGCAAAGACAATTCCAATGAAAAGGACTACTTGGGCCTTACCAGCAGGGAAGTACCCAAGGGGCACTGTACCCCCAAAAGAAAATGGGAGTTCCAATGCCTACAGAAGTTGCTAATGATCTACTCAGTCAGGTAGTATGTCCTACCTCTCCCCTAGAACCATAAGAAGCAAAAAAAGGCGCTCAGACATATGGGCAGGCTAATAGGTAATTGAAAATGCAAACATGACACAACGAAGAATCATCAAACATTTGAAGAAAATCAAAGAGGAGTTCCAGAAGGACAGACTAAAGGGAATGGAGCAGAGAAAATAGTAAAGAAAAAAAAAAAAAAAGAATAAAATATCTCATTGTCAATGAAAGACAGGAAACTCCCAATGAAAGGGTCCATGAATGCCACTTAGAATGAACAGAAAAACAAAAAACCTCAGATCACACCTAGACATTTGATGGTAACATTTTAGAAAACTAAGGATAGAAAACTAATTTAAAAAATTATCCTTATATAGGGGTGCCGGGGTGGCTCAGTTGGTTAAGCATCCGATTTCGGCTTAGGTCATGATCTCAGGGCTCGTGGGTTCGAGCCCTGTGTCAGGCTCTGTGCTGACAGCTCAGAGCCTGGAGCCTGCTTTGGATTCTGTATCTCTCTCTCTCTCTGGCCCTCCCCCACTCATGCTCTGTCTCTCTCTCAAAAATAAATAAACGTTTAAAAAAATTATCGCTAGATAAGGAAATTAACAGTCAATGTAAGGCGTATTATTTGGGAGAGGAAGAAGAATATTATCTTTCATTAGAATTTTGTAAAAGTTACAGAAAAATCCTGAAATAACATAGGAATAGGGTCCATAAATTCAATTACATGCATCTAGTTCCTAGGGTCTGGTTCCCAGTACAAAGTAAGGTGTCTTCTGGTGACATATATCAGTGGGGCAGACCTTTAATCATGTGCCTGGCTGAGATTTCCAGCGCAGAACAGTGACTCCAGGCATTTCTCAGTTCACACCTGTTTCAGGGACTGATCACAGGAGAGTGGATAATACAACAGAGAGCCCACCGTTCCCATCCCTACGAGATGGAGCTGCTACTGTTTGCCTCCTCACTGAGACTCTCTGTCCCTTGCATTGCATGCCTTCCCCGATTTCGCTCACCCCAATCCCAAAGCAGCGCTCCGTGGAGAATGGGAACCAATGGTCAGTCAGGGTATATATGGGTTCACACGATGGTGAGGATCAACTATTCCTTATAAGAGCAGCCAGTAGAGAGTTGGGTCATGAGCCAATGGGAAAAGAGGGCCAGTTCTGATGGGGAAGCAGTGAAGACAACAGGGAAAGGAAGGCTGGTGTGGCAGAGAGGCTGCAGGATAATGTTACCCAGGGCCTGGAAGTAGCAAGTTCTAGATATCAAGAGGATAAGCTGAGTGCAGTATAGGAAATCAGATTTGGTTAGATCAAATAGGACAGATATGGGAAAATGCTCCCAATACAGTGTTAATTAGAAATAACACGGTCAAAAGTCCCCTGTGAATTTAGTTTGATCCTTGAGTATGTGAGTATTTTCTTTGTATCTGTCATATGCCTGCTACTGTGGGATGCTGAGCAGAGCAGGAATGAATGCACATGGTTTCCACCCTCATAGGGTTTACAGTTTAGGACAATAGATAGCAGAGAGTAAACAAATGTTAAGAGTGATTATCACAGGTTGTAAGAAAGGCGAGTTTATTTTCTTCTTTATAAGTAATATTTTCCATATATCCTGCATAGTTGTCATATGCCTTTTATAATGAAAGAAAAGCAATAAATCTTATAGACACTACAAAGAAACCAAAAGGAGACCAACCTATAGGGGGTCAACTGACATTCTTCAGGCTAATAATAGTTTTATTTATAAAACAAAATGCCAATTTTATTCACTCAGCTATCTTCAAGGTTTTATGATAGCAGCTGAGGATATACACAGTGGATTAGGAATAAATCCTTACTCACAAGGAAGATTAAAATATCGTTTATGGGGTGCTAATGGCAGAGGGAACTGAGGAAATGGTTAGCAGACAGATAACCAATTATGTCTCTTTGTCGAATAATGTAAAGGCTAATTAGAGGTGTATGTATTTTATAAAACCAGTGTAACTTGTTGTAGCATAACATTTTCTATCCTCCAATTTGGGAATGCTTCAATCTTTTGGATGAAGATTTAAGAGATACTCTAGTACCTATCAGCAGCATATTGCCAAAGGATCTCTTAAGCTGATAAAATCTGAAGAATGCTTATTATTACTGTGCAAGGTCAATTTATTAACTTCAAAAAGACCTTGTCCTACATTTTCCTTTTAAGAGTAGGGGAATGGAATAGTAATGATAGCAATTATATTTAATGAGCATTTATTCTGTGCCAGGCATTTTACATTAATTATCTTATTGGGTCTTCACAACAAACTTGAAGGTAAATAGTACAGGTCCACAATCTCTTATCCAGAACCCTGGGGACCAGATGTATTTTTTTTTTTCTCCAAATTTTTTTTTCAACGTTTATTTATTTTTGGGACAGAGAGAGACAGAGCATGAACGGGGGAGGGGCAGAGAGAGAGGGAGACACAGAATCGGAAACAGGCTCCAGGCTCTGGGCCATCAGCCCAGAGTCCGAAGCGGGGCTCGAACTCACGGACCGCGAGATCGTGACCTGGCTGAAGTCGGACGCTTAACCGACTGCGCCACCCAGGCGCCCCCAGATGTATTTTGGAAATGAAACTTTTTGGAACTTATAAAGAAATTGGGAATATGGTACATATACTACTAATTTTGTAACATTCCAAATGGTTACAAAACTCATTATTCTGCAGAGAGATGTATGAAAATTCACACTAAATGGAATAAAGACCATAAATAATGTTACAATTTATTTAGATAAATAAATCCATTGGCAAATGAAACTTGTTGGTAAATAAATTTATTGGTAAATGGAATGGCGGGATAAATATAGGCCATAAGTACGTAAGCTTCTTATTTCTTTTGTTGCTTATGATAAATATTTTTTAGGGGTGCCTGGGTGGCTCAGTTGGTTAAGCGTCCAACTTCAGCTCAGGTCGTGATCTCACGGTTCGTGGGTTCGAGCCCCGCATCGGGCTCCGTGCTGACAGCTCAGAACCTGGAGCCTGCTTCTTCCTCTCTCTCTGCCCCTCCCCTGCTCATTCTCTCTCTCTCTCGCTCTCGCTCTCTCTCAAAAATAAACACTAAAAAATTTTAAAAATATTTTTAAATAATATTTTAAATTTATATTTATGAAAACTAACCAATAACACATACAATAAATATTTATCACTTCTAGTTGTTTGAGAATCTTGGAGAAGAGGTTACACTGGTGGTATCCTTACCTATGAAACCAGGTTGGAGCTGGACATTTGATGAGGAGCCAGGAATGGGATTCTCAAGTGATGAAGAGGCATTAACCACATAGGGCCTTTCTAAAGACTTTCCCCACTCTCACTGGTCTCCTTAACATAGGTTTCCGTCTAAGCAGTTTCTAATTGAATAAACGGCCATGATCTCTTGCTCACTGATAAATGCACATTGTTCAAGGCTAGCAATTAATCGATCACACATTTTCAGACTTTTTTCGCCCACACTCACGTCATCATCGTTATTACTACGGTCTTCACACTGACCTGTACTTAACACCATCTCAGCAATTTCCCATCACTGAAAGAACACACAACAGATACATCATTTTCAATGTACAGCATTTCTTCCATGTCGGCTTCTTCCAACTTATTTACACTTCTGGCTGATAAACTTTTGGCATAAGTAATGAGTTTTGATAACATCTTCTCATCATAATCTCTGAATCCTTGAAAATCTTCACTGGCCAGGTCATTTTCAAACACCATTGGAGCCCAAAGCCTGTGCCAAGCATTAGTTAATGTTGACTTATCAACATCATTCCAAGCATTAGCAACGCGTCGATGGCATCTTTAAGACTAAATTTTTTTTTTTAAGTATTGAATTTTCGGGCATTTGTTAACTGAAGCGAATGTGCTGGAGGAAAAAAAAGTGATAGCTCTTCCTAGGGCATAGGGTTCCTTGGTCACAAGGCTGTATTTTGGATGTCATGTTGGGGGGGGGGAGGATAGTAAATGCCAAAAACATTACTTTTCACAAGAATTTCAGGAAGGGGAAGTGCAGAATGGTTGTCTAAGAACAATAAAATTTTGCAATTGTCTTGCAGTCCAGCTTGCTTGCTGGGAGCTTGTACTTACTGAACCAATCAGAAAAGATTTCTCTTGTCACCCATGCTTTCCTGTTTGCATAATAATGCACAGGTAGACTGCACACAGCCTGTAAACATTTTGGATACAGGCTTTTTCCAGTCCCTGCCAATTTTGTCTTGTGTGTGCCTACAGCATTAGCACACCCAACAGTCAACTTTTGCTTGGCATCTTTGAAATCTGCTGGTGCCCTTTTGTGAGCCATTGTTCAGGTTTTTCTAGAAACATAGTGCCAGTACAGAGCTGTTTCATCAGCATTGTGCATTTGTTCAGGGCTAAGGTTTTCATCAGATGTCACCTTAGCAAACCCACCAATGCAATTTTCAAGGGTTTCATAATCAGTAGGAGCTTTTTCACATATTTTAGGATGCTTGATACCGCGACACTTTTTAAATTTCTGCAGCCAGCCTTCTGAATATTCATCCTCACTTTCAAGGTTTAGTTCTCCATGGCACATTCTAGCTTGTTTCACAACCAACAAGCCAGCCAGTGGCGTGGCTTTACTTCTTTGTTGTTGGATGCATTCAATCAACACACATGCAAGATCTTCATTTTTGGCCCTGGGCCGTGTGTTTCTATTTTTCACTAGTTCCTGGTGTTGACTGTCATGACACAATTTCAACAACTCGCCTTTCTGTTTCTATAAGTCGGAGGTGGTGGTTTCCGCAGCACAGTCTTCAGTAACATGTCTCACAGACACACCATCATCGATCTTCCATTTTCGGAGCTACTGATAAAGCCTGATGGCTTCCTTTTCTTCTTCTCACTGTTAACCCGTATCTTTAATGCTTTGGGGAACATTCACAGTAAAATGAATCCCTAAGTCACAGAGTGTCAGCAAACAGCAGAGGGTGTGTGTGTGATAAATATGAGTGCTGAGATATAACTGAGGCTTCAAGTCTGTCCATGGCCACCTCTGCTGCCAAACAGTCCCGGTGCCAAGCTGACAAAAATACTTGCGGGTTCCAGAGAGTTTTTGCCTTTTTTTTTTTTTTTTTTAACCCTACTTAGGAATTGCAGAGTGCAGATTATGAACTTGTATTAAAAATATCGTTTTAATGATGAAAAGACTGAGGCTCGATTAGTAACTTGCCCAAGGCAATGCAACCACGCTTTGTCTTTTCTGCCTCTATTCAGTCTTCTAAAATCTGGTCACTTTGTTGGACAAAGGACTTTTGTTCTGGTATTATTGTCTGCCAGGATGATTTGGGTTGAAATATTTTTAGCAAAGGAACTTGATACTCTTGGCTGTTTGACTGGCACAGTCAATAACTGAGCCCCATGCTGAATAATTTGAGGATGTCTTGGCAAGAAATGGTTACAAATGCTAAATTTATAGTCATTGAATATAGATGTTTCTTTTTGTACCAAATTATCTGTTTGGTACTTATGTGCCTAGTTACTTATTGCCCCACAATGAGCAATCAGGAAAGATGAAAGAAAACCACTCATTTCCGATTACATCCCAAACACTCCCACAAATTTCCCTTAAATATCCACTCATTTGAAAGGTTTTTGGTTTGTTTTTTAACTGTTCTACAAATTATATATCCCAACTGTGACTCAGAATTATTGTTAATCAAGTTCAGAATTAAAACATATTTTAGGCACTCTACTAATATATTTCTTTCAACTCAGAATTCATGAGAATTTTGAAGGACTTCTGTGGGTTGGGCCCTATGTCACGTGTTATTTTATAAGTTCTTTTTGGATAGCCAGCTTTTCTTACTCATTCCCATCATTCCCATATTTGTTTATATCCTCATCAAACATTTAATACGAACTAATACAGGTTTCCCTGCTATCTGAAAGTAGCGTTCCCTATGAAATCTTTTGAAAGCCAAATGGCATAAAGCATAGAAACAATTACCATTAATTTATATGGAAAATTTTTTGAGTGTGCCCAGACCCCAGAAATAACCTCTCTTAGGCTTTTCTGATACCTTGGGATATAGCTGTCAAATGTACAGAATAAATCTAGATGAAGCACAGATGCTCCCAAACAGTTCAAAGCTACGGCCGATGAGATGCTGAGTGTAGTTCCTGAAGAAGGCGCTTGGTGGCGCCACTCTAGTTGCCGGGGCTCGTACTGCTTCTGTAAGGGCTTAACTGCGAAACAGCTGAATACTATT